TCATATGACCAGACCTTCTGGAGGCCGTGGGGAATAGGGTCTGGAACGACCCCTCCCCAACATGGAAGGAAGGAAGGGAGGGAGGGCAGGCGCGCAGGCCGGCAGGCCAGCCAGCCCTGGTGGCGGGGGTATCAGTCTCCTGAGGAGTAGCTCCCCGCAGAGCCCGGCTGGAGTGGAGGGCAGGAAGGAGGCACCCGGGAGGAGGCGCTGATCTTGAGGAGACGAGCTGACCTTCCCTGAACCTTCAACCACGACAAACCACAGCAAACCCATGTGGGAGCCATTAAAGAAAATTCGAAAATGCGGAACTGCACGGAAGATGCCTCCTCAGTGGGAGTCTTCAAAGCAGTGCGGGTGGAGCCAGAGAACCCGCGAGGTCCGGGGCTCTCCCTGGACTGCCTGCCAGCCTGCTGCTTGCAAACAGGCCTTTCCACATCTCCAGGGAGGGTGGCGGGCAGGCCTGGGGACAGGCCAGGCCCTGTGTCTCCCCACTTAGCAATGGCCATCTCCACTCCTGCCCCCCAGGAAAGAGAAGGAGGATGACACAGCAGCCTCTCTGGCTGCATCCTCAGCACAAGGCCTTGTGCCTCAAGCCTTGAGGAGGAATCAGAGCATGGGGCCTGTGGCCCCAGCTGGCTGGGCAGTGGGGAGACCGCATGGGGAAACGTCAAGAACTCAGTGCCCCTGCTTCTGCCCGGCCATGGCCTCAGTGTGGAAGCAGGGACTCTGCTGTGGGGGGCGGGGTCTGCCTGGCATGCAGGAAAGAGGCCATAGGGGGCAGTGGGCTGGGAGATCCCCGGGCAGGCACACACGCAGGGTAACTGCCTGAGCGGCCCTGCAAACAGCTGCCCCTCGCTAACATCGAACCCAGGTGTGGCAGGGACACTGATGACTCTCCACATGTCCCAGGGAGTTGGAACTACCTCCACTTCCAAGACAGAGACAGCAAAGCCCCAGACCTCGCCCAGGGTGGCAGCTCTGAAGCCGCCTATATGCAGACAACTCCCCCACTGACCGCTTTCCAAGACTGGGCTCGCAGGGCCCCCTCGATGTGTCGAAGAAGCGTCTCAAATGTAACATCTCCTCCTCCTTCGGGCCTTCCCATCTCGGGTCAGCAGCCCCCACCTTCCAACTGCTCAACCCAAACACCTCGAGTCACCTTGGTGCTTCCCTTTCTCATCACATCAAGTCCATGGATGAGCCCATTCCAAAGAGTCCCGGAACTGGGCGGCCCTGCCCCACCTCCGTGGCTTCCATCCTGGACCAAGCACCCATCACCTCTTACCAGGACAAGCCTGGCTCCTCCCTGGCCTGGCCTCTCAGAGGCCACTCTTGCCCCTGCCGTCCATTTCTATAAAGCAGCCAGAATGATACTTTTTTCTTTTTTTCCCCAGAGATGGGGTCTTGCTCTGTTGCCCAGGCTGGAGTGCAGTGGTGCAATCTTGGCTCACTGCAACCTCCACCTCCTGGGTTCAAGCAATTCTCCTGCCTCAGCCTCCCGAGTAGCTGGGATTACAGGCATCCACTACCACACCCGGCTAATTTTTGCATTTTTAGTAGAAACAGGGTTTCACCATGTTGGCAGGCTGCTCTCAAACTACTGACCTCGTGATCCACCTGCCTCAGCCTCCCAAACTGCTGGGATTACAGGTGTGAACCACCAGGCCCAGCCGCAGAAAGACACTTCTAAAACACAAGATGCTGCCTCAATAAGCGCCCGGAGGTGTCGGGTTAAGCAGGTTGAGGCTGGCAGCGCTAACACCCACACCTCCCCCTATCGCCATGCTGCAGCGGAACTGTGACAGTGCCCCACCCTCCAATGTTTTGCTCAGTGTCCCAAGAACGACCACATCTATTTTCCAATCTGGAGCCTCTAAAGTCAACTGACCACGTGGCCCAGGGCCCGTTCATGTCTGAGCAGGACTTGCCGGGCATCTGATTCTGGTGGAGAGGAAAAAACATCCTCGTCATTGACTAATAGTGCTCTGCTGTGATGCTCGGAGTGGCCATCCAGATTCCAGTTCACAGATGCGGTTCCCAAATACTGATTCCCAATCTTGTATCTCCCGCTCACCCAACACCTTTAGGATTTTCCAAACAAGGAAACTTATGAACGCATCCAACCTTCCGTCTCACGCAGAGCTAACTGAGCAGGAAATCACCTATTCACAGGACACGTGTCTGCACCTCCAGGAGTGGGTGGGCGGAACTCTCTGTTCAAATAGGCTCCAGTGCCCTCCCAGCCACTCCGGAGGTCTGTGTACTGTATTGGAGCTGGGATATATAACCATGAAGCTGTGCAAACCCAGAGCTCATGACAGTATTGGGGGCATTTCCTGAAAGACACAGGGCTGGAAATCTTCATGGATCCCCCACGGTCTCAGTGGCCAGGCAACAAGAGCAGGCCTGGCAGTCTCCTCATCTGTCTGTCTGCAAAGAATGAACATTAACCTCCCTGGCTCCGTGACCACCCCTTGGCTGGGAGGAGGGAGGCAGGGCTGAGGGCCAGGGCTCCTCAAGATCCTAGGTCCTGGGCAGGGCTCCCAATCCACACCCATCCCAGCTTGAGGCAAACTGGCTGTGGATGTGGTGCCACTCATTTCTGACACCTGGGGAGACAAACACAGACCTCACTCTGCTGGTTCCCTCATTCAGTTCCGAGGTGACTACTTCCCCAGGGAGGTTACCTGCTGGCTGCAGACCCGGCCACCCACCTCTTCCAGGAGTCCCATGACCTAGGGGCACCAGGCTGCATGGACGAGGACCAAGCAGCCCTGGGAGCCTGCACCACAGACGTCGTGTGTGGCTGTCAACTCGCTGCCATCACAATCAAAGTCACAGCAGAGGACCAAGAAAAAGAGAGGTGGGGAGGCTTCCAAAGAGAAATATGTAAGCATTTGCACATGCCTGACCACCCCAACACTTTCCCCAGTATCTTTCAAAGGTTGAGGTGGGGGAGGAGGAACAGGAGGAGGACCTCCTTCTCCAGGAGAAACTGCAGGCTTGGAGACTTGAACACAGAGTCAGCATCTGTATTCCTGACCTCTGGTGGGGGGCCTCACCCCCCTCTGCCTCTTGCCTGGCCTGCAGGGTGGGGTTAGAACTCAGGGTGCTGAGCCAAAACTGCCCTTTAAGGACAGTCAGCCCATGGGCAGATGGAGTTTTCCAGCCCCCTTGCTTCCCGATGTGGGACTTGCAGGCGGTAGAAGGGACTCATGCAGGCAAGGAGCTCTGAGAGAGGGCCATGCATGGGGTGAGCTGTTCTGCAATGCCAGGCCCTCCTGCTACCATGGGCTCCCAGCTGGGCAGCCATGGAGCCTCCATTCCCACACCAGCACAGTGTTCCTGCACATGGGCTGCATTTACACAGTCTGAGAAAGTCCACTCCCCTTCCCAAAGGGACAGGTGGAGTTCGCTGTTGACTCAGCCTGTTTCTGATCTGCGTGCTCCTCCCCAAATTCATGACTGAACAAGTCCCTCGGGACTGTATCTCAAAGGAGCCCACTCAGAAGCCTCCAGCAGGCTTCTGAGAGACTCTAAGCCTGTGTAATGAGTGAGAGAGGTCACTAGCGTTCATTTACCGGAGAGGCCCTAGTATCCCCAAGGTTACCAACCCCAGCTTGATAATATGCTGGCAACTGGGCTAGAATTTGGTCAACTGAGGATCAAACCTGGAGGCAGGTCACCCAGAGAAACAAAGACCACCTACTCATTAATTCATCCATCTATCCATTTATCCATCAATTCATTAGTCTATCTGCTTTCCATCCACTCATCCATCCGTTCACTCATCCATCCGTCCATCCACCCACCCATCCACCTGTTCATTTATTTATCCATCCATCTATCCATCCACTCATTCATCCATCCATCCATCACTCATCCACCCATCTGTTCACTCATCCACCCACCCACTCATCTATCCATCCATCCACCCACTCATCCACGCATTCATTTATCCATCCATCCATCCAACCATCCATCCATCCATCCATCCATCCATCCACCCACCCACCCACTCATCCACCCATTCATTTATCCATCCATCCATCCAACCAACCATCCATCCATCCATCCATCCATCCACCCACTCATCCATCCACCCACTCATCCATCCATCCATCCACCCACTTATCCACCCATTCATTTATCCATCCATCCATCCATCCAACCAACCATCCATCCATCCATCCACTCATCCATCCACCCACTCATCCATCTGTTCATTTATCCATCCATCTATCCATCCATCCACCCACCCACCCACCCATCCATCTGTTCATTTATCCATCCATCCATCCATCCATCCATCCACTCATCCATCCATCCATCCACCACTCATCCATCCATCTGTTCACTCATCCATCCACCCACTCATCCACCCATTCATTTATCCATCCATCCACTCATCCATCCACCCACTTATCCATCCATCCATCCACCCACTCATCCATCTGTTCATTTATCCATCCATCCACCCACCCACCCACCCATCCATCTATTCATTTATCCATCCACTCATTCATCCATCCACTTTTTCATCCACTCATCCATCCATCAATCTAAACACTCATCCACCCACCTACCTACCCATCCACCCATCCGTCCATCCTTTTGTTCAACCACTTATCTATCAATCCAAACATTAATCTATTAATCTATCAATTCATTATCCACTCATCCATCCATTATTCACTCATCTATCCATCCATTCATCATCCATCCATCCAACCAATCATTCATCCACCTATTCATTCATCATCCATCATCCATCCATCTGTCCATTCATTCATGAGGCACCGTTAGGTAATCTAGCAGACTCTGGGTAGAATTCCTCACTTAACCAGATGCAAAAGTTGCCTCTGAGGGTCTGAATACACTGGAATATCAACTTTAAAACACCTTAGTTCCAATGACTGTATCAACTTTTGGCCTAAGCCCAGCCAGGACCATGGGGACAGAGAGAGGGCATTGCCTCTGACAGCAGAGGGGACACTTACGATCGAGTCCGTTCAAGTAGCGCATTCGGATCTCACAGTGGCCCCAGACGGCACTCACTACAGGATACAGTTTTTTGCCCTTGAGTCCCCGAAAAGCCACTCCCATGTACTGTCCATCCACAATGAAGCTCAGCGTCCCATCGTCCATGTCCAGGGCTACCAGGAAGGAGTCAGGGACAATGAATGTCTCATCTGGTTCCAGAAAGGCTGGGTATGTTTTGCTTGGCTGGTTCTTGCCATCATGGTAGAGCCGGTTGCGCCCCAAATCCCAGCCCCAGGACTCGTGATTATTCCCCACGAGGGTAGTGTACCCGACCGAGTGCAGGGGGGCGTCTGCCGTCGCCACCCCCACCACAGCGTGTGTGCCCCGCTGTCTCATAGCCCATGTGATCTGCCACACGTGCAGCCCACGGGTATACCCGACTTTGCCCCTGATAGCGTCTGTGCTCTGGGCCACCGGATGCCGGTGAAAGATGAGTTTGTCGTCTTCCTTCACGAAGACGTTGAGCGACCGGTCGTTGTTGTTCCACGAATGCAGCAGCTGGACGTCGTAGGACACAGGGGGCATGTCCAGTAGCAGATCCAGCCGGGTGGGCTTGCAGTAATCCAGACCCTGGAGCTCCTGCTTCAGGGGCCGGTACGTGGGGTCCCTCATGTCCACAGTCTTGATCCCTCCAGTGACCTTCTGACCCATGTTCGCCCTGGTTTCACCTTCTCACCGACTCCCAAGGCAAACTCATCAATCTCGTGGTCTCGTCTCCAGTATTCTGATCGGGGCCAGACAGAATTCCTAAGGCGGGCTGCCAGGAGACCTCTGCAAGCTGCACAGCGTTCAGTATTGCCTAATGGACGGAAAGACAAACAACCGGTGAGCGGGGCTGCGGGATGAAGGGGAAAGTTAACCCGGAGGTCGAGGCGACCACATCAGCACGTCCCGGCAGCCTGCACCTGGGCTCCGTCACGCCTGACATGGACAGGCTGGAGTCTTGGCGTGGAATGAAATCCCCCGTTCCCTGGCTAGTTTGTCACAAAGGAAAGGGGCTGTCCATCCACCCGGCAGACTGCACGGAGAGGTGGGCTTGGGGGCTGCGCGTCACCCTCATCTGTGTTGGGTGCAGGCATACGGCTGATGCCCACCAAATACCTCATCAGGGTTCCACAGGACGGCAGGCCATGGTGTCACAGAACCAGGACTCAGCCACGACAGTGGGCATCTGCTTGGTCAAAACAGAGGGAGGTGGTTGGCCCTTGCCTTGCTGTTCAGAGGGGAAGTGGAGCCCCAGGTAGCAGCAGAGGCTGTGAGGATGCCAATCCCAGCTCCTCCTCCCCGTCTCTGTCTCTGTGACAGCCACCTCCAGCAGACGCACCACCAATTCACTCCAGAGAAGGGCTCTCTGGTGCAGTCGGACGGTTCAACTCAGGCGTCTGTGTACGCTTGGCGGGGAGGGCCCCAGGAGCCTCCTCCGCCAGCAACATTCTTTTCAAGGGCAGGCCTCGATTCAGACAGCATGGGGGGCTCATCCCCCGACCCCCAGGAGTTCTTAGATGACTGACCACCTCTTTTTCCTGCCCACACCCTTCAACTAGAAGCCAGGGTTTCGCCCTCTGGGTCTCAACAGCACGTCTAGGGAGGAGAGTCCAACACTAAGATGCCTCGTTCCTCTCTGGCCTCACCATTCCCTGGGTCCTTCAGGAGGGAGAACAGGGACTCCAGGATGGGGGAGAGATCTCACTGCATCATCTACCCCATCCTCTCCACTGGCAGCCCGGGAAGAATTCTTTTTTTTTTTTTTTGAGACAGAGTCTTGCTCTGTCACCCAGGCTGGAATGCAGTGGTGTGATCTCGGCTCACTGCAACCTCCACCTCCTGAGTTCAAGTGATTCTCCTGCCTCAGCCTCCGGAGTAGCTACGATTACAGGCACCCACCACCATGCCTGGCTAATTTTTGTACTTTTAATAGAGACGGGGTTTCACCATGTTGGCCAGGCTGGTCTTGAACTCCCTGACTTCAAGTGATCCACCTGGCCTGGCCTCCCAAAGTGCTGGTCAGGAAGAGTTCTATCCAAGGAGGAGAAGGCAGCAGAAGATTTGAGCCTCGTTCAAGAGAGAAGTTTCTTTCTGCCATCAAGAACCTCCTTGGTCTCTGGAAGGGACCAGAGAGGCCAGGGAGAGCAGCCTGGTTTGGGGTCAGGCTCCTAGGATCAACCAGGCCAGAGGCAAGGCAGGCTCCTGGCTGAAAATGGTACTAAAGGAGCCTGTGGGGGTGCCTGGGCGGTAGGCCATCGGAGCCTTGGCTGCCGGGAGAGAGTCATGCTGGGTCGCTTGTTACTAGGGTGCCCAAGTAAAGGAGACAAAGAGAATCCAAAGGAACCCGGAGTGGGGGAGGCCGTGGGCTCCCAGACACAGGGAAATCCAGGAATCTCAGAGGGCTGGCCTCCCCGTTCAGTGTGGGGCCAGCCAGGCCAGGCTCTGCAGTGGGGCTGGCCTCCAGCTCCCTCTTAGCTGGGAAGAGGCCCCATGAGACCCTGTCCCCGGGGCAGCGAGGCCTCCAGGAAGTTTGGTCCTGGCAGAAACTTCCCATGTGGGAACCCTTGGTGCCCAACCCCCTTATTTCAGGGGCCAGGTCATGCTTCTCGCCCTCCCCTTTCTGATGTGAGACAGAGGGTTCTTTTTTTTTTTTTTTTTTTTTTGAGATGGAGTTTTGCTCTTGTTGCCCAGGCTGGAGTGCAATGGCGCGATCTCATCTCACTGCAGCCTCCGCTTCCTGGGTTCAAGCGATTCTCCTGCCTCTGCCTCCCAAGTAGCTGGGACTACAGGCGCCCGCCACCGCACCCAGCTAATTTTTTCTATTTAGTAGAGGCCAGGTTTCACCATGTTGTCCAGGCTGCTCTCGAACTCCTGAGCTCAGGTGATTCACCCACCTCGGCCTCCCAAAGTGCTGGGATGACAGGCGTGAGCCACCACGCCTAGCCACAGACAGAGGGTTTTGATCTCAGGGGCACGGTCATCTCTTCAGAGACAGGGTAGGACTCCTTGTGTCCAGTGTCTGCAAAACCATTAGAGCGGAGGTGTACCCTCTGCAGCCTGGAGGGCCGCCCTGGTTCCAGAAAGTTCTGTGAATACTGTGACCTCACATCCATGATCTCCCAGGAAAATCCCATTTTCAAGCTTTCAGTTCCATCTCCTCTCCTGGGAGCCACTGAAACCTCTAGGACTCCCTCTATGCTGCTGCAGAGGGGCACCCCGTGGCTTTGGGGCCTGCGCCTCAAGCTGCGGGAACGGGAGAGAGTTAGGTCTGATGTGGCGCCAGTGTGGCCTTCCCTGAATTCCCCTCTTCCCCAACCTCCACTGGAGCATTTTCTGAGCTGTAGGAAGGCCGAAGGCCGGGCCGAGGCGGCTCTGGAGGTCAGAGCTGCAAGGAGTGGGGGCGAAGAGGACAACCCCCATCTCTGTCTGGACACCCCCTCCAGCTTGGTGCCCAGGAACCTCTCCATATTCTCAATTCCGCAGGGTCTTGTGGGCACAGAGGTCAGCTCTCTGGGAGGACGGGGCGCGAATTACTTTCTAAGAGAGCTAGTTCATGTCGCGCTTCCCGCAGCGTAGCCACTCCACAGCCCCCCTGCCGCTCAACTGTCGCAGCAGGGAGGACCTTTCTCCTGGGATCTCGTCTGTCATGGAAGATCCGCCCTCTCTCCACGTGTGGGAGCAGGTGGGAAGAGTGGGGAGGAGGCTGGGGGAGGGAGGGGAGAGTGGGAGAGAAAGGTGGCCGGGAGGGGTCCTCTAGCAGGTAACTGAAAATGCTAGGAGGGACCGTAACAGGGAGGTTGAGGGGGGAAGAGGCGAGGAGAGCAACACCTCAGAGGAGGAGAAAGGGTGAAGTGGGGTGAGACGGGGAAGGACGGGGAGGGAGCGGAGGGAGGGGAGGGAGCTCTCGGGCTAATAAACCCAGGCCTGAACACACAGAATGCCTGTCTCAGCGAGACCGGAGATCAGTTTTTTCTGAAATGGGCGAGATAGTAAATGCCTGGCTTTGAGGGCCAGACAGTCTCTGCTGTTGTCGCGCAAAAGCAGCCACAGACGGGACATAAATAAACGCGTGTGGCTGAGTTCCAGAAAACTTTATTTATAAGGACAGGCCGGCCTGGGGTCCGCCAGCCAGAGCTTAAGACGGGGCCCTGCGTCGACTCCACTTAAGACACAGCCCTGTGGGGCTGGGGCAGGCATTAGCCGGATGGTGGTGTGGCGGGGGGGGTCCCTGGAGGCTGGGCCAGCCTCATCCCAGAAACAGCCACCAGAAAAGGGTGGCTTCACCCCGACGTGGGACATCCACTGTCTGTCTGTCCAGGTCGGTTCCACAAGCTCTCCTAGTTCTGAGATGCCATCAACTCAGGTGGCCCAGCAAGTCCTCAACACCAATGCTGGGCTGAGCTCCCTAAACCTAACCCGAACCGCCACCCCTCCACCTCCACCCACCTTCCCCCTACCCCCTCACCCCGGCCCAGGCCTTGGATCACATGGCGGTGAGGGGTGGGGGTCTGTGGGAGGGAGGGCCTGGGAGGAGGGAGGCTGGGGAAAGAGGGTGGGGCGTTTTCCCTGGGCAGGGCAGGCAGGTAAAGGGCCTGCAGCACTGTGGGGTGACTCCCTCACAAGGGCACCCCAGGGAATGTGGCCCACCCACCCGGCCACTTCTGCCATCTGAGTCACCACCCAGGCGGTCAATCACTGTGGTGGCCCTGGGGCTACTCTTGACTCATCTGTCACCCGCCCTGTGTCCAGGCTATGGTTAAAGATGACAGTGCCTTCCCACCTTCCTGTTGTCCACACCTAGCCACCTCCTTGCTGTGCAGGAACGCTGAAGCCATCCATCCGTCCTCCTCCTTCTATTTTAAAATGTGGCCGCACAGATCCACCCTTCCTGTGGGTCCCCAGGAGCTGGACTCGCCACCTCCCCTGGAACTGCAGCCCGGCGGGCGCTTCCCCAGCCCTGTTTCCTGAAGCTTCCAAGCTCATGCGCCGAGACAGTAGCTCCAGCCACCAAGATCCACCCCGAGCTTCTCCAAGCTTCTGCTCGTTCATCTGTCACACACTTACCTAAAACTCAGTGGAGACAGTGTTCCAGAGGGGGCTGGCGTCACTGCATTTCCACTTTCATTTATTTCCTAGCCTGTGCTCCATTCACTGAACAAAGATCACTGTTCTCCCGTCTTCCTGGTCACCACATCTGGCCCAAGAGAGGGACGCTGCCTTTGGGCCAAGACCCAAGGACTTGGAAGGCTGGGTTAGGGCAGACCAAGTTTAAGGTCCCTTCTAAACCAGGGGTCAGCAAACTTCTTCCATAAGGGGCCAGATAGTAACTATTTAAGGCCCTCCGGACAATATGTAAATGAATGGGCATAGGTGTGTTTCAATAAAACTTTATTTACAAAAATAGACAGTGGGCCAGATTTGGCCCAGGAGCTGTAGTTTGCCGACCCCTGTTGTAAACCCATGGAAAATTGCTAATACGATCACCATAATTCCTGGACATGGTGCTCAGGATGGGGGGTGTGTACCACCCACAGGTGCCGAGTGACATTCACAGGTGCCTGGATGGCTCCTGTTAACACTGGACCAAGACGGACATCCCTGGGCCTGGAGGGCATCCAGCACTGGGCACCACACTTCAGGCAGGAGCTGGGAGAACAGTACAGGCCCCCGCTCTGGGACCACCCCCACTTACTGCTGCTCTGAGAAGCAAATGCAGATGCCTAGGCCTTGTGGGGCCCAGCAGCACCAGAGAAGCTTCGGGGCCTGGCATTGCTGAGCAGTTGGTGAGTTTCCAGGAGGTGGGAGGACTCAGCC